CCCGGCAGGTCTGACCACGCCCAGGGAACTGGCAGGGAATCCACCCATCCATCTCCCCTGCCACCGGCCTCAGCCTTTCACCAGAGACGCCTTCCCGCGGCCTTCCTGACATCGGGGCTCTTCTCTTCCCAGGAAGAGCGAAACCTGGCGTTTCCGGAACACGCGTAGGTGGCGGCTGTGTGCACACACGTTATGTTCTCTATAGCTCCAGCCTTCCTTCCAGGTTTGTGTTTTGGATAATGAGCTCCTATTAAAGTTGCAGAATTTTTCTCCAAATCTGAACCGGCGGAGCTGGAGTCGCTTTTGCTCACCTGTCCCCCAGTCCTGACTTATCTGGCCATCAGGGAGTCCTGAGTCCCCAGGGGTGGACAAGGGGGCTTGACCCTCTCCCAAACCCCGTGGGCCCCAGGGCCGCTTGGAGGAGGCAGCGTGGGGACTCACAGCACAGAAGAATCCAGGCAGCCTCAAGATTCCAGGTTGCTTACTCTCACAACTCCAGAGCTTCCCACAGGCTCTGGCCCAGGCCTGGCCCGTTTGTTGATTGAATAAATGAACAGATCCATCAACATTCACTCACTCGGGCCAGGGGGTGAGGCTGTCCACTTGAGCAAAGTTCTTCAGCTGATTGAAACCCTATCGGCGCACGGTAACGTTTTCCTCCGGCTTCTTAAACACAAGCATATGCATTTATTCAGCAGATGATGGCTGAGTGCCGATTACAGGCTGGGCACCACCAAGCTGCTGAGAGCGGCTTTCTGGGGGACAGCCTCAACAAGAGTCCACCAGACCGGGGAGGACACCGTGCGAGTGTGAAGCCTGCTCCCGTCGCCTGCCTTCCTTGGGGTCCGGCCCTGCCTGCCCACAACCCCCCGCAGGCTGTGGGGCCCACCGCTGCAGACCCCGCCCAGGGCAGGTGGCTTTCTGAGCAGCCCATCCACAGCCGGCTCCCTCTGGGCTGTCACTGCAGCCATCTCTTAATTAGCAAAATAAACAGCATGATGACAAATGTCATGATTTACTCAACAAATGATCAAAATCATTGTCTTCACAGCCCCCAGGGCAATGAAATGCAATCACAGGGTGATTTATCCCAGGCAGGGTGAGCGGAGGGCTGCCGTCTCTGAGCAAGGCGTGGGGGGGGGGGGTTATATCTACTGCTGCAGCAGATGCAGAGGGGGAGGTTGGGGATTGAAGTACCCTCTAAACGAGCCAGTCTCCTGAGCCTAACGGGTCATGTCCAGCTGTCCAGCGCCGAGCCTACAGCGCTCACAGACATGCCAGTCAGGCCCTGAGTGGACGAGGCACCAGACATGGACGTATTTTCTTCCAACATGACAAGGAGGTGAGTCCTGATGGGGTCCCAAAGTGCGTGGGAGAGGGGGACTTGGGGTCACTGACCGTTCCCGGTTCACACAGGAGCGGGGGAAGGGGAGAGCCTCTGAAGGGCTCTGGATGTGGGGGAGGGCTTAGGAGCTCAAGCAAACATCAGGAGGTGCGGGCTTGGCTCCCCCCTCCGCACCCCTCCCGGCTTTGCTCAAGGAGTGTCCACACCGAGTGAGAATGAGCACGGACAGTCCACGCGTCTCCTTAGCCCCTCTTGGGGGACAGAAGAGCTGTAGCCTGGGCCTCCCAACCCAAAACCTAGTGTTGACTGAGAAAAGGAAATCATCCTTCCCTGTTACTTCAGCAGAATGATCCAGAACAAGAACTGTTCTCAGAGTGGACAGAAAAGTGGTTTCCGTGGTGTCCCCCAGCGGGGCACCTGCCACAGGGACAGCTTTGGTGTGACCCCTAGCCCCTCAGGAGAAGCTGAGCCCCTGAGCTTTGAACTGGCCAGAGCTGAGCTCCCAGCCACCCCTGCTGAGGGCGAACAACATGGTCCTCCCTGGACGCCATTTGTCATCTTTGCTAAAACGTCAATTACTTGCTCTTTTTCAGTGAACGAAGGCTGTGTTCATGATAGTGAAATTCAATTATTCCAATCCATAAAACATAATTACTAGGCCGAGAGTGGGAATCGGGCATCACATTTGGGATCATCTTGAACTGATAACCGTGCATGCCCGGGACTTCCACTCGGCCTGGCCAGGGACATCCTTACACACAGATGCCTTCTAGTAGCTTCTCCCACCCCAGACCTGCAGACGCACAGCCTGGAGCAGGGGCAGATCAGGGCTGCCTGGGGTGAGTGGCTGGAGATGGTTAACAAGAGGCCTGGAACCACGGAGAGGCCTCCAGACCTGGTCCCAGCTTTCACCCACTCTCCACCCATTTATGTGATCAGGAGATAAGGCACACAGGCTGCAAGTCAAGGAAAGCTAGGAAGGGCGTGGACACCTGCCAGTCCCTCCTGAGCTGCCTTCAGACCTCCAGGGAGCAAAGAAATAAAGGGATAGTCAACTACTTTTCAGGATACCAATGGAAAATTCCACCACGGCTGCTTAGCAGAAGAGAGGTCTAAAGCCTTTTCCTACTCCGGCGGCCCCAGCTCAGGTCTGTGGAGGTAGAAAGAGATCACTTCCACCTGAGTCATGGGCTTCCAGCAAAGGTGGATTGAATCAGTGTCTTCAGAAGCCTCTACCTCCTCCCCCCCCTTCCTCTCCCTCCTCCTCCCAGCTTCCCTGGGGAACATGGTGGCTTCCAGTCCAATTCCACCACTGTCTCTAATCACCAACAACACAGACCACTGTGCAGCTGAGCTATGTGGTAAAAGGGTAGAGAGCCAGAGACAGATGACAAAGCCAGGTAATCGGTGCTTGAACTTGCAAATAAAACAAGGTCAGAGGAGATAATGTGCGTCTGGAGTAGTATTTGACGACGTTGGGGAGAGGGCGAATATTTCTAAGCCCTGGCATGAAAGGAAACTGTCGGGTCAGGACCTCGGGACAAAGCGCTCGGCGGAGAGAAGGGGAAGGCGGTGGCGGGAGGCGGCTGCCTCACGTCCTAGGAGAATAAATACCATCGCAAAGTCAACAAGCGCAGGCTGGTGATAGTGACAGGCTCTACCAGGCCCGGCACTATAGGAACCATGATATGGGGCATTGCTTTAACAGAAAAAGAAAAAGAAAAAAGCAAACAGAAACTTACATTACAGCAGACAAGAAGAAAAATCACCTCAAGGTCATACAAATCTACCTGTAGAATTTGCTTTCCAACATCTACAAGGCACCTACTAATTAAATTATCTAGACCTTTGTAAAGTACATCAAACACTCTAAATCCTCTCTCGGGCACACCTGGCCGGGAGGGACAGGAAAGGATCCCCCGTGGAGGTCAGAGCCAAGTCACACCCCCCAATCACCCACCGGGCATGCTGTTTACACAATGCTTTTGCTGGACCCGGGAGGGCATCTTTCCCGCCACAACTGAGCCATGTATGTGTCCACTGGAGGGCTGTGATTCGAACTTCCCCCGTCCTGCCTGACCTTGCTCTCTGGGTCCTGGCCAGTGAGTCCTGAAGGTGACTTCCACCTTCAGGCCCACAAGCTGTGCCCCGCTGCGGCCTCTAGACAGCCCCCGGACGCAGGGCTGAGCTGCGATTCCACCCCGTTCCACTTTGTTGGATTCCTGGGAAGCTCAATCTGCCTTTTCCTTAGACTGCCTGGTTCCTCTGAAGAATGAGGGGCCCAGGCCCACACTCAAAGCCCCATGTCCATGACAGAGGCCCTGCGCCCCGGAACCTGCCTGCTTCGGTGTCGTCTGTGTGACCTGGAGCCTCCACAGACAGGTGCCTTCACACCCCAGGCTTCCTGGACATCCTGACGGGAAGGGCCTGGGAGAGAAGCAGGGCTGGGGGCCTCTCATGAGCCCCCTAATGGGGAGAAGGGCCCCATGCATGAGGGGACTCTGTGGAGCCGTGCAGAGTCACAAACCAGAATCCTTCCCTCATTCAATTACAGAAAATGAAGATGTAGATCATTCTGGAAAAGTCTCCAAGGCCCCTGAGGCTAGGGAATGTACTAAGATGGAACAGGAGGCCTGGGTCCCACCTGGTGTGCTCCCCAGCCCGGCTGTTGTAGGACCATGGCCATTCCGTTCCCAGCATTCCCCCCTCCCCGCCCCCGCCCCGCCCCGTGGTTATCTTCCTTCCCGACTCCGGGCACTGACCAAGGAGCAGGTGCTACGGGAGGCCATGAAGTGTCGGGGAAAATCTGGACCTGCGTTCCCATTTCCCACCAAGCAGGGCCCCAGATCTAGCCACGGGGGCATGGTTGAAGGCATGAGTGCCATTGTGGCATGCATGGCTCCCCAGAGGCCACGTGGAGATCCCCCCTCCCCCAAAACCAGGGCCAGGCACCCTCCAACACCTGCTCAGAACACTTCTGGACACCTCTGGACACTTCTGAGCCTGCGGGGACATCGGCACCTCATGTGATACGACCTTCTCCGTCCTTGCTGATCTGCCCATGCAGGCCAAGCTCACACAAGCACCAGTGCCACTGAGGCTGGCAGAGACATAGGCGGAAAGGTTCATCAGCAAGACAGCCATCTGGCAGGATGAGGCGTGTACCCGCACAGCTGAGAAGTGGGGCCCCTGAGGGGTTGGGCAGGAGCCCTGACAGTGCGTCCCCAGGGTGTCTGAGGGCAGCAGACTCGGTGGCATTTAGAGCTGCCGCAGCCCCCTGGGGTTAGAACGCAGCCCCGGCTAGAGGACCGCCATCTCTTCTGGGACTTCCCCCTGGCTCCTCGGCCAGGGCAGGCTACACCTATCATCCCTCGGGAGGCGTGGCGTGCTTCAAGACATGAGCTCATGAAAGACACATTTCCGGGAAGAGCGCGCCGCGGCCGTGGGGGCCGGCAGCGGCCACAGGACCCCAATGTTTTCTGAGTCACGTCATGCAAGCTTCAGGATAAAATAACCCTGGGAAATGTGACATTCGAACGCTCTCTCCGACCCACCGAGCCTCCCGCCTCGGGCCGTGGCTGCTCACCCGGCTTTATAAATAGATTGAACACAAGACAAATGACCGCGATCAATCATGCTCAGACTCAGTGCTCACCTCCCATGCAAAGTCCGCCTCCTTCAGCGCGGCCCGGGGCGCCACCATGCAGGGCCCAAACCGCTCCCCGACTTCCATCTTCCTCTTGGCCCAGATCCCCAGGCCGGCTCCAGGGATGGAGGACTCTCTCAGCTCGAAGTCGGGTGGGATGGGAATGTCTTCGGGAATGTAGACCGGAGCCTCGTAGGGCGAGCCCTCCTTGGGAGTGAAGTCCTCGCTGGTGGGGAAGGGGGACGGTGGTCCCATGGGGATGGGGGACAGGATGCTGTCTTCTGTCTCTTCTTCGGCACTCTGGCCGGCCAGCAGGTCCGGGTCGGGCTCATACATATTATTTACAATGTCACCGTCACCTAAAGGAAATCACACAGTCAACCTCTGTGGTAAAGGGACTCCCCAGGGACATGACCCTTCTAGGACCCAAGGGTCAGAGAAGTCCGGCCACCCTGGCCACTGCCCTCTGAGCGCCAGGCACCATCTCTGTACCATCCTGAACCAAGCAGGCGGTGTGCAACGCCAGAGACTCTCCGAAGATTTTTTTTCCACCCGGCTCCTTCAGGGACCAACCTGCGAAGTGCAGGCAGCCCTGTCCCGCCAGCCGCTCCAGGACACGCGGTCCAGCCCTGACGCAGGGGGAACAGGCCAGGCCGCACTGGGCCTCTCGGGACTGAGGACACATAAAGCCATCACTGATGGGGAAAATCTGGCCCCAGAACCATGCTGGCTCTCCTCTGTGGCCTTGGAGATTGAGGGCAGAGATGAGTCTTGGAAGGATTCAGGACCCCAGTGCATTGCCAGGCCCTGGTGACGCCAGGGCAGGAGGGGGCTAGGCGTGCCAAGGTCACGGGCACAAGGCTTGCAGGGTGGCAGATCACAGGACACGTTGACACTGGGGAGGGAAGGACCAGGAGGGGAGGAGTTGAAAATAACTCCAGTCCTGGCATTTAGCATTTGCCCTGCCTCCCCCCCGCCCCCCCCCCCCCCCGCTCCCGCCACACACACCCAGCCCAGGTGAGTATTCACAGTAGCCAGAGGTAGGAACAGCCCAAAAGTCGGTTTGAGATGGAATGGCCGGATGAAGCTGCGGCGGTGCACTGACCAGCCCATCTGCCCTTAGGAAAGCACAAAGCACTAACTTGCTGCTGTAAGGCACGAACACTAGGCAGCCATTCTGGAACATCCTCACTCCCCCCCCCCCCCCCCCGTCCTCCTGCTACACTGCACGCAGAACCCGAACTCGCGCCTGCCATCTCACAAAGACTTTGGCCCATGGACCAACCACCCCGACTCTCCATCACGAGGCCACCTGCTGAGCACCCTGACCGGACCCTGCCCCCCAAGGCACGGCCCTGAGCATACAGCCAGACATCACCTTCTAGCCTATAAATCCATACACTCATTATCTGCCCATTAAACATGTTCAAAATGCATCATGCAACAAGAAAGAAGCCAGACACAAAAGGTCAAACACCGTATGATCGATCCCATTTCTATGCAGAATCCAGACCAGGCAAACTGGCTGAGGTTGTCTGGCACTGGGCTGTGGCTGCTAATGGGTCCCAGGACTCCTCTGGGTGGAGAGAATGTTCCAGAACTAGATAGAGGTGAAGTTGATTTGTACAATGTGGTAAGTGTTCAATTCACCAGGGGAACTGCTTGCTTCAGAATGGTTCCCTTTCCTGTTACCCCAGTGGACCGTCGGGAAAGTGAAGAGAAGGAACGGGGAGGGGAGCACCAGCCTCAGCACCTGCTGGCCAGATCCAGAACTTTCCACCAGGCCCTCTCCAGGTGCTGGAACCTGTGGAAATGACTGGGCCTTGTCCCTGGACCCCTCCCCGGCCCCTCCTTGCTCCCTGACGCCGGAAGTCTCCAGAGAGATAAGAACTTTGAAGCACCAGAAAAATAATTTCAGATTCCTCATGCTGGTTACAAACAAATCTGCTCAGAAGTAACAAAATGTTTTCTTTCAAAAGAAACCAAAGTCTTAGGGGGAAAAAAATCATGCGGATAACACTTATTTAATTTAGCAGCATTCACAGAAGTAATGATTATGTTTCAAGTGGCCAACGGTTCCTTTTTAATTGGCTGGTAGGATCCTTCCAGAAAGGGAGCAGCAGAGCCGCTGAGGCTACCCCGAAGCTGATGCGTTGTTTAGTTTGAAAGCACACCCCCGTACGCCTCCCGTCGACCGTGTGCAGCATAAAGGTAAATTAGAAGGGGGGGTAATTAACATGCCACCTTATTATTTGGAACTGGTAACCACACACAGCTCCCAAACACGATGGCACTGGAAACCCACGTCCTCTACCACAGGCTCCTTGACTCCCTGGGGGTGAGCGTGCCGGGGTACACGTCTCTACCTACCTCCCAGCTCAGCCAGGGAGCCAAGCTGGTTCCTCTGGGAGTTCTGGGGGGGGGTGGCCCAAAGTAGAAAACATGTCATCGGGCACAGCTACTGCCAGACTCTTTTACACACACACACATACACACACACACTTCCCTCACCTACGAGAAGAAAATCAATGCTTCAAGAGCATGCTCAGTTCACTGGCCAAGCCAACAGCATGGGGAAGGAGGGTTGAGTTTCCTGCTGATTAAAGGCAGGCCTGAGCTTTCGCACGGGCCTCGGGGCTCCAGTGGTCACAGGGGTTAAGTGACAGACTCCAGCCTCCAGGAGAAACCCAAGTGTTCATTCCTCCACTCCAGAGGAAGCAGAAAGCCAGCACCGAGCCTCCAGAGCCCTCCAAGAGCCTGGCAGAAATCACTCCTCTCTTGGGGGTGAGGGGGAGTGGGAGGCGGTGTCCCTGGGACTCAAAGATCACAAGCTCCAGTCAGGACACCCACTGAGGCAGCCAGGCCAGGCCAGGCCAGGAGCCAGCTGGTCCTTCTGCTCCTGGACAGGCTTGTTCCCAGAGCAGCCATCTTTGTACCGCTGCCTCAGCCCCACCCCCACCCCAGGCCCTCCTGCCCCAGCCCCCCACCCTGCCCCAGGCCCCCCACCGCAGGACCCTCTGCCCCAGACCCCCTGGCCTGCCCCAGGTCCCCCCACCCCTGCCCCAATCCTTGGCGATGACGGTGTCATCCTCTTCAGCCGGCTCTGTCCCAGGTGAGCAAGTAGAGGCAAGATGCTGAGCTCTTTGAGGCTCTGTGTGCTTATCAACTTGTTAGGAGCTGAGCTCTTTATTTGGGGTTACAGCAGTCTTGCACTAGGGCCTCATTCCTAAACTTTCCTTTGGGAAATGAGGAAGGTTGCTGAGGGAGGGGCGTCAGCCCAGCCTGGGCCATCTTGGGAAAGTTCCTGCCCAGAGCCCTGTTCTCGGCCCAGTCTGCTTCAGTGGACCCCGAGCCGAGACCCCAGATGTCATTTGTAAAATGGTCCAAGAAGTCTCGAAACTTAAATGTTCTCCAGGGCCACAGGGCTTCCAGCCCACTGTGTGCTGGGCTGCCTCCCGCCTCATTTCACTCCCAGCCCAGGGATCAAGGCTTCAATCCACCTTTCCGGGAACAGAGCCACCGCCACCGCCACCGCCGCCGCCGCCGCCGCCGCCGCCGGGAGCAGGGGAAGGGGCTGTGGGGAAGTGCGTGGGCTCCACACTGCTGGCACTGGCCCTCCGTGGCTCCCGGGCTGACCCGGCCTCCGGTGCGGCGGGGTTCCTCTGCTGGCTGGCTGGTTCCGGTCACTGCTGGATTAGCACAGTGATCCTAAGTTGATCCTAAGCTTATGGCCATTGTAGGTCTGCTTTTGCAGTTGGGGTCTCTGGGGATACGGTGATGGATTCAGGAAGCATTTGCCACCACCTTGCTGAGAGGGAACAGGAAACTCCCAGCATGTGGTTTCTTTAGGGGTGAGAAAGGCAGGGCCCTGCTGAGTGCCCAGCGGAGACGTGAGGGGTCAAAGGGAGCCAGGTTTGTGCTCCGGGCTGAACTGCGGTGAGGCCTGGCCCGGGCCAGCGTGCTCAGGAGTCAATAGCACACCCAAAATGCCATTAGAACAAAACACCAGACTGGGCGGCACGGGCTATGGGACAAGCCGTGTGCCCAGGGGCCCACAACAGGGGTAGAGGAGCCCCCGACCCAGAGAAGGACCTGTGGAGCCCACACCCATGGGCCACAGAGCTCCACACGGAACAAGACGTCTGTTCTGACTGGCCGGGCTGTCACTAGGATGAGAGCACAGGTCACCTCTGTGAGAATCCTGCAGGTCCGTGGGAAGAGCGAGGGATGGGGTCAAAACCCGGAGGGATACAACGGTGCTAGCGTGGCCGGGGCTGCTCTAGATGTGCCTTTCGGGGGCAGCATGGGTCCATGGTTGGGGCTGGCTCCTGGGAGGTGCAGCAGGTGACCCGAGGCCGCCCAGACGTGAGAGCTGGGAAGGTGAGACAAGCCATGGGGGGTGAGGCGTTGCCGGCAAGGTGTCCCAGCTGTGTCCGGAATTCTATGGACTGTTTATTCCCCCGTCAGGCAAGAGTCTCAGAGCCGGGTCTCAGGACCAGCATCACCACACCCCTAAGGGCCATGGGCTTCACTCTGAACCTGCTGACCTTGACTTGCAGGGGTCGGGGGGCACCTGCATCATAGGTCCCTTGAGTTGGGAACCACTGCTGTGGCTGAGGTCATGGGGGTGGGGTGGAGGGAGAGAAGGGGAGAAGGCAGGAAGTGTATATCCAGGGATCCTAGAAGACCTAAAACACCTCCAAATCACCCTGAAAACACGGGCTGACACCGGCTAGAGGCCTAGGCATTTCAAGTAAGTAAACAAACCTGCCGTTCAGCTGGGGAACTGATCGCTAAGGGAAAACACGAACGGGGCCCCCAGCTGAGTTTCCCCCTTAGGACATGTGCCTGAGTCGGAGAGACATCACGGTCCCCTCTCCGCAGAGCTCAGAGCTCACCCTGGCCCAGTCTCCATTGCAAACCAGCTGAGGCGGGCTGGGACAAGGGTGCCCTGGGCCACAGGAGAAACACGCAGGGGCATGTCCACTCTCCCTTCTCTGGCTGCGTAGACGGGGCCCCCACAGGCTCTGTGTCTAAACTGCATAAGCTGCTCTCTGCCATTAAGCGCTTTGCGGGGTGAGAGGTACCCCTTGGGTGAGCGCCGGTCCCTAACATGGCTGGCAGGCCTACATACCCCCTCCACAAAATGGGGGAGGGTTCTAGGAAAACCCAGGCCTGGCTGAATCTCTTGAGATGATGTTTAAGTTAGGGAAGCTTCCTGTACAGAGACAGTCTGATGCCATGAATAGTCTAGAAGAATCCCTGCCTTGGCAGTCTGCAATGGTCTATATCGTCCATCACGGCAACCCCAGGACAAGGTCTATCCTGCGGAGCAGTGTGACCGGTGAGCAGGGGCCCC